TCTATATCTATTTTTTCCCCTTTCTATTTTCTCAATTGTTACTATAAATTATTCGCTGTAAAGTCCTTTTAATTAAGGCAATACTGAACTCAAAAGAGGAGTTTCACTGTTCTCTTCATCCTCGCATCGTCTGAAAGTCAACCCTCCCAAAGAGACTATAGTTGACCATTTAACTTCGAACCATATAGTCGGTTCTGGCACGCCCGCACTACATCAATTCCGAATCGGATCTTAGGAGCCGATTTTAGCGTCAACACAAATTGAGGTTTCAGTGAGAAAAATGTACCAATCAAAAAGATCTAAAGTAGAGAAAAGATGATCTTAACTATGTCGGAAATGAAACCATCTGCATCCATACATAAGCAGAGCAAAATTAAGCTCAACTTAATACAAGAACATCAGAATTATAAAGAGTCAAGATAAGTTAAGACTACTAACCTGAACATACACTATAATCAAGGTATGAACTGTCTAATGAACTTGCACTGAATGCGCAACTGGTATTGGATAGCAGACAATCTCGGCACACAACTGACCATTGCAGATCGAACCCTGATTCCAGTACATTCAGGATCGAATCACTATTCCACCAATTACTATCACGAACAGGAAGCATTGAAATAAATGAGCACCCCTCTGGAAAACTGTGGCGGCTGTTACCATCAACCATATAAACATGGGATGTGTTTCCACCCAAACAAGTTCGTTCTGTGTAAAATGGAGAACTGATGATTCCGGAGCTGTTAATGAAATTGGCAAACGCGTCAGGGTGAAATGGTCCTTGGTAACTAATATCACCACGAACTTCATCCGAGGACAGGGAATGGTATGGAAGATTGCATGTTCCATTCACAAAGTTGACATCAACTACACTGATAATATGGTTTATGTATGAAATTCTCTTCACATAGTACCTTCCCGAATGAAATTCCAATATAGTTTTGCTGCCCTCGCATGAAAGTTCGTAGTCTTGATCGCCACAGCTTGCTGGATCGCCTTTTAAGCGAAATGGGTAGCTGATGTTTTTGATATCTCCACATGAGGAAGAACAAACTTGCTGTAGTGATCTTGCTTGAGCTTCAGTGAAGAACGAAAAAATCAATAGGGATAAGTATGCAAGTAGTGCACTTGGTGGGTTTTCTTTATCAGTAAAGAAAATTAATGAAATGAATTTATTGCAGAAAATCTATTATGGACCACCATGACTTTACAATGTGTGAAATGGACTTATTATTAGAATTTGTTTCCATAGTTGAGATATGTTGACAGTAAAATTTAAAGGATGTAGATGAACGTCAAATCATTTTGGTTGGTGGCATCCATTTCACTTGACATACCCAAGTTGTGTGTTGAGTAAACCCTAAAGAATAATGAGTCTTAGGTCGAAGACACAATGCATTCGATGGATACATTATGGCACTATAATCCGAAACTATATAGCAAATTGTTGAACAATTAAATGTGTCAACTTTATTTAACTTTACATGAAACTTATAATTAACCGGAACTATATCGAACTATATAGTTTCGAAAAACATGTATTGTTGTCATCAAGGTCTTCAATTAAAAGCTTTGGCTCAACTCAAAACTAGTACAAGAGATTAAATCCAAAAGAACAAAGAATCACATAGTTATGTTTTAAGAAACATGACCCACCCTTCAACACAAATATCGCTCAAACTATGATTCGAACTTGAGACCTAAAGATAGTAACACTGAAAGTCAACCTTGAGATGTCACTTGATGTATCTATTAAGAATGGGACCATAATAAGCTACATTTAGAAGCTCAATAATCAAATAAAATTTTAATTTGGCTGAATATGAATATGTTAGAATTCCTTATATATAACAAATCCGTCGGCCCTCCTTAAAACTTACATTTTTTCCAATATATATATATATATATATATATATATATATTTGTTAAATAGTTCAGAAATATGTGGAAGCATTTTCCATCCAGGGTTTTTAAATCAAGTTTTGTATCTCAACCAGACAATAAAAATATCCATAAGTAATCCGAAAAATATGAATACACGAATCTCAGAACTAATGTGCAGCCCAAACATCATCCATAATAAGCTCACTTTAATTCTTTAGAAAGTTGCCTAGCCAACCCATCCGAGGGTTGGGCTGGGCCTGACTCCATGGTTGCCAAAGTAGGCAACCCAATTCCAATCCAAGAGCGTTGGTGTGTATGCACAAATCATCTTCTCCATTTCAAAATAGTTGTCCATCTTAATATTTATGACTCAACATTATAGATACCAAGGTGGCCAACTATTTTGGGACGGAGGTAGTATGGTTTAGAGAACGAGGCTCTTAGGATCATTTTAACCCTCCAAAAAACTTGTGGCTTTAGTCTTTAAAAAATTGAATCTAGCCGGACATGTGATTTGAGAGAGAGAGAGTACAAAAAAAGAATTTCACGCCTATTTGTACGGGATAAAAACAAGAATGATAATGATAAAGAAGTGATTTTTGTCGATGATTCGATGAACTTGGACTTATTTTCTAAGCCAATGTGTACAACCGAAGGGGACTTTTTATCAAGGCTTGAATTTATTACTGCATCAAATGAATAAAAACTTGGCGACGGTTTTCATTGGTAAGAGAAATAAAAAGATGTAAACAATGAAAAAAGTGAGAGGATGAAGCATCCCGAAAACCATGTTAGATTGACTTTTTGATACAAGCATATAAATTTTTTCATTTCCAATCATAGCAATTAGATGAATAATAATTTTAATTTTTTTCCTTGACAAGTAATATGCATACAAAAAATTAGAATTGTTTTCAGCTCATATTACAAAATTGATCAAACTTGAAAGCGAGCCAAGTTTTTGGCAGTAATATTTCAATGCAAGGTACTTGTCTTTTTCTCGCCCCTTATATAGGCCAAGGGCTTACGATGAATGGCGACCTTTTATAGCGATCTAACAGTGTGAGAGTTTTAGGGGTTCTAGAATCCTCCAATGAGTAACCTCTATAAATTTAGAAAATTTAGGCTACTCGGTAGAGTTCTATACACTGTTAGACAAACTCTACACTATTCTAGAGAAATTCAGATGGGTCTACAACTATGTTGAGAAAAGTCTAGAAAGTTTTCGTTCAAGCACCGTCCATGTCATCAGTCTGTGTTTATGTGTGGCCTCTCATGACGGGCCGTAACATCAAGCTCAAATTAAGCCCACGTATAATTGTTCAACTAAGTTGGACACTGTTTACCAAACTCCAATTAAACTTGTTTAGTAAAGCTGGAACTCAACATATAATTTAATCTTGTACCTGAGATCAAAATTGAAAAGAAAAATGTTTGATTAAAAATTCAAAAAAATTTATAATAATTGAGTTACATTTTTCGATCTTTGATAATCCCTTTTTTGATCTCAGGTACAAGATTTTAGAATTGTTTCGGTTTTATGTCTTTATTTTCGTCCAAAACAATTTCAAAATAGGCCCTGTGGAGTATTTTCAATAGTGATGGTTTTATATATATATATATATTCGGTACTTTATACCACTACAATGTTTTGCTAAACATGTTAAGATATTTATTGTTATTTTGATTTGACCCTTCTTTCCGCAACAAATGCAGTACTATTCAATTCGTAATAAATTTATCAATTTGCTTTTCTTTTTTTTTTGTTTCGCTATAATACGCATGCCAACAAGCAATAGTTTGGTAGTGTACTGCTTATGTTTGTATTGGGATAGCAATTTGTCTTTCATTTTGCTTTATCAAAAAATCCTAACCCACTTCTGTCATGTTTTAGTTGCTGTGCTGCAACGACATGTCATATTCACAATAAAATCATTTATTGTAATTACTATTTTTGAAGTTTACAAAAACATTTCTTTTCTTTTTCTCTTAAATAAAACAAGAAAATATAGAATTCCTAATAGAGATCAGAATGAAATAAAATATCATCAACACCCATGTTCTAATTCTAAGAATGTCATTGTCACAACACTGTAACAATGATTCGGAAAGTGTGTACCTATTGAAACTTTGGATATATTTCACACGTCCAACACGTTTAGGAATGAAAACAAAGCTAATAAACCTCACCTTAAGATACAAACTTATACCTTACGAGGCAGACTTATAGGAGAAAAACTTGCATGCGTCGGTGGTTGTACGGTGTAACAGGGATATTCAATAATCTAATATTACGCGTATGTTAAACTTGCAATAACAAATGCATTCAACATGTATGTAATACACGCGCATAGACGTGTGTAATACAAGTTTTTCTCAACTTATAGGAGAAAAAAAATCATGTGCGGTACACAATAATACCACACAGCAGACGGCCACAATGGCTTACACATGTGATTTGTTTATAAATGTAAATAGTCATATGATCATCAGTTTAACACAAGACTCAAGACTGAAATACTAAGGCCTGATTTGGTTTACGTTTTATTTTTGACATTTTATTTTGACCAAAAAAAAAAAAAAAAAAAAAAAACTACGTTTTGTGATAAAATGTTTTGAATGGTAGTCCGATGCATGTTTGAAATTGTCCATTTGTTGCATAATTTTTTAAATAAAAAACATGAAAACATACTTGGTAAAAAAAATCTACAAGTATAAAAAATATAATGGTTAATTTAAAAATATAATTTAAGAATTTTTTTTTAAAAAAAATTATCGTTCATCACTATCATAGCCGTTTTGAAATATGTAAAAATACCAAATTAATATTCAATACTATACAAAATAAAATATTTTTTTATTAAACACTCGGTATGTTTTTTCACTAATACCCAATAAAAACAAAAACACTAAAAACAAAACACATGTCAAACAAATTTTAAATCAATTACTGGAATTTAAAATTTTAAAAATATGTAATAATTAAAATTTTGAACTAAATTTCCTCATATTCAAATCTAAATCTCCAATTCATTTATTCACCATCTGCCACCATCTCAACAATTCCATTCAATCAGCAAGAAACATTATACAGATTAAAAGGCAACATTTTAGTGTAATACTTGAGAAAAAAACTTCTTTATTTATCCGAAAAAACTAAAAATACAAAAAAGGAAAATTTACAGCGGTGAAAAAAGAACCCTTCCAGAGCTCTTCAAAAAACTAGTGGAAAAATTAAAAACAAAGAATCTAAATTTAAGGAGGGTAAAAAAAAAAAAAAAATTAAATGGGCAAAATCAAAAGTTGTACAACGGTAAAAAGTAAAAAACTCATATCTAGCTCATCTCCCACTCTGATGACTTGATGATACATATGATCATTCACCATCAACATCATCATACGATCCATACATACAAACCCATGACCCCCATTCACCGCAAAGAGAACCACGTGACAAGGTCCCCATTCACGCGCCGGTCCGTGAGAGCCACGCGCTCCTCCGAAACCAGCGGCGACCGGCAGAGAGGACAGTTGAAGTTGAGGTGATCGAGCCATCCCTCAAAGCAATCCTTGTGGAAGATGTGGCGGCACGCTAACTTGCGCACCTGGTCACCGTCTCTCAAACCGGACAAGCACACCACGCAATCAGAGCCGGCCGTCGCACCACCATCTTCGCCGTACCGGTAGGAGAAAACCCGGTTCAAATTGAGCTGCTCGGCCAGCAAGATCAGACCGGATAATCCTGAGCCCACGGCGCCCAATAGCCCCTCGTCGACCTCGTCGGAATCGAATCTCGGAGAGAGGCCCATTGGTCGGAGGAGAGCGAAAAGGAGGGAGCGAAGATAACTTACGCAGCTGGCGACGACTGCCACTACAAGGATTGGGATCGATTCCGATGATACGTCGCTCAGCTGGCCCTGTAATCCCATCTTTTGATTTTAATATATGTGGAAGGCACGAGCCTGTATATATAGAAAGGTACAGAGAAAGAAAAGTGCTTTAGAGAGAGAGAGAGAGGGAGAAGGGAGGTGGTGGAGGAGTTAACGGAAATCGAGAATGCAACGGTGCAATGAGCAGAGAGTGCCAACACCTTATGGTTGATTTAATTATATATATATATATATAAATATTGTGTGGTATTGTATTGCTTTGTTAATTGCTCTAGAAGATACATACAGACACACAGTAACACGAAACCATATGGGAAGTGATGTGTGAATGTGGTTAACATGTTGTGTTCTACCTGTCTTATCACGAGGGACCTAAATAGTTGGAGATTTTTGGCATCATGCTTTAAGAAAAAGAATTCAAATTTGAACAAGTGTAAGATAAATTTTGTAATTTTTTATTTTAATATAGTCAAATATTTTATCAATATCAATCATGATAACAAAAATGTTGTCAAAAGAAAAATTATAGTTAATAATAGAATATTTATTTATATATATTAATGATCAATCCAAGTGGCAAAGCCTTCACATTTTGTAAATATTGTTTATTAACGCGTCTATATGGTTAAAGTGTGTCTATACATATAAGTATTATCAAACATTTCCCCCTCGAACGATATGAGAGGTCACAATCACTCTTTTTTGGAACTCAGGTGTTCTTGCTGATCTAACCCACCCCCTCTTAGAACCGAGTGTTTTCGCTTGTTTAACTTATATGAACTTATGCACAATCCTTCATTTTTCAGGAGAGATTGACTTTGATACCATCTGTCATAATTCATCCACACTATATATATATAAATTACTATTTCAAAAGCAAAACTGAAAAAAATAATAATAATTAGTAATTTGAAGATCTTTTTACCAACTACATCTTTGGGATCCAAATAAATTAGCATTTGGTCTTATGCTAAAATCAGCCTATCATCCGAAAGGTTGGTAAAATAAAAACTTAAAATAAAAAGGAGATTAGAATTTTCTTTAATAAAGCTACCTGAAGGTGCAGGATTTAGGTATTCGAGGTATTTTTTACAAACAGCAAATCCAAAAAGGAAGATTTTTCTTTGTGGAAGAATCATTTGAACATTCATTGTACAATACACATTAGTTGTCATGTTATCAAGTGATGTTGAAGTAAGGTAAAACTGTGTGGAATTTTTATTTTTATTTTTATTTATTATTTTTTTATACCATTGACAATAATATTAAGAGTTAATGGAGGAAAGAGATGATACAAAATAACTCGAATACAAACTTCCGAACACGAAACTTCCGACCACGAAAAGTGACCGACCATTTGACTTCAGTGTCTGCAGAATGAAACACATGACAAAATGAGAGGCGTGGGAGGCTTGACGCCTCAATTTGAGCCACCACACATGTGATGTTAAAAAACCAGAGCAAGTCTATCAAAAGTGTGGCTCTTAATTGAACTCACTTTCTCTCATCTTTCCAATAATAGCTTTGTTCAACAAAATAATAGTATTACTTCCTAACATTATGAATACAATAGAGTAAAATACAATCTCTTTTGGTCCACCATTTGCACACACTATAATCTATTTCAATTTTAAAATACTTTATTAGAACTTTTTTTTTTTTTTTTTTTCCAATACTTATTACATCTTTTAATTTAACTAATGAATGAGAACGCGCAATATCTAATATTTTCATTTTTTAGAATCTAATTTTTTTAATAAAAAAAAATTAGATTATTTTTTTATTATAACATTAGGGAATAAATTTTTAAATATACCCTTCTATGGTAGGTTTACATGTTTTTATAATTTCAAGGTAAGTAGAGTAAATAAAAAATAGTATTAAAAAAATAATACATTGAATTTTGAATTAAAAAAATTATTTTAATACAACAAAAATTTAAAAACTAAACAAATTTTTTTTTTTTTTTTGAGACGAATAAATTATTTTAATTTTCAACTCCAATTATTTGAAAATCATCAAAAGCACTAGCATAAAGAAATTTGAAAAAGACGAGAGAAAAAAAAAGCATGGTTTTGTGGTCAAAAATAAGGTTTGATAAGCCAAAAGAAATAGTAATAAGATATTTGTGGTGGTTTGTTTTCCACCACTTGTTATGACAAAACAATGTACAAAGCTTGTTGGATTATGGGTGGTATGAATTTAATAAAATGATGTTACAGGTACAAGTTAACATCCCAATTAATATAAACAAGTGATTTGGCCACTTAAAATTTTATATATATATATATATATAAGAATTCATAGACTCATTACAACGAGGAATTAATTAATTGTTATAGGAGGTGGAAAAGAAATTGTCACCAGAATCTGCAACAGGTAAAAGACGACGCGTTGGGCGGTGGAGAGATTGGACCTGTTTGGACAAAGAGAAAGATATTTTTCCGTGATATCAGGTCATTAAATTAAAAAACAAAAACTAGTTGAAACAGTGAATGGTACAACTAAACTAAACTAAATTAAATTAAATTAATAAAAGAGTTTAGAGAAGATAATGCAAATCTCCACCGTCTAAAGAAGATTTGCATATCCACCGACCACACTCTTGATGCCCTATAATAATCATCTACTCAAACAACTTGTTCTTATTCTAATATCTTTAATTTATTTATATATATATATATATATATATAAGCATATTATTATATATATTTGCATATTTATATAATGCCCTTTTTTATTGATCACAAGAATGAGAATCTATGAGGGCAGTACCGTGAACAAGTTGTTCCTGATTAGATATGTACACGATATAACTTTCATATAAAAATATTATTTTCAGTTTTAAATCCGTAACATCTAAATCACAATGGAACAATACCCGTCCCTCGTTGTATAGAGCTAGCAAGTTACAAGATGATCCTTCCATTGCGTGCACAATGAAACTACTTTACATCGACTCTCCTTATATAAGGTTAGACCCGTGCACGACACTTCATTATGAAAAGTCAAATGATTAGAGTTTTGCCTTCACATATGGGGGTGACTGTTTCTTTGATTTCAATCTTGAAAAACTGTTGTTACATATCCACCCTAATACTTTTATTAAAAAAAAAAAAAACTAATTTTAGAAACAAGTATTTTGTAGATACATGAAAACCAGCACTGAGTATGTAAAAGTTAGTGTGTGTGTGTGTGTGTTTACTGTTCCAAGCTGGGTACAGGAACAACAAATCCTTTTAAATTAGGTTCAGCATCCAAGTCTCCAGAAACTTTGATAATAATTTAAAACAAAGGAAGTTGTATGAATTAGGAAAAGTACGGAAGAATTTAAAATTATACAGATGATGAGATTATAAACCTAAAAAAAAAAAAAAAAAAAGAAACTTAGAACAACATGCACGGAAGGTCAGAATGAGCTAAGCAGCTGTTGAAAAGAGCAACCTGCAACAATATATATATATTTTGTCATAATTTAATTTCAAATTAATATTATTTTTTACAATCAAATAGTTTATGCTTCAAGTGAATTGTTAATTTAGACTTGCTCAAGTCATAAGAAGAATCGAGAAATAATTTGGTAGATGATAATGAGAGAGATGACGACAACAGGGAACTGACATGCGACTATACAAGCATTCGTCCAAACATGTCAATTGCATCCAGTCCACTTATGAAAATTATTGAACTTATAAAATAAAATTAATATTTTGATGAGACCAAATAAATGCAAATATTGTAAAATGAAAATTTAGAAATCTTTATCTCAACTGTAGTAACAATACATAAATAATGTCTCACTTCTGCAAGTACTTTTTATTATTTTTGTGAGCATTATATATATATATATATATATATATAATGAAATTTTAAATTAAATATTTTTCGATCTCAAATTTAAAGTACCAATTCAGTACTCAAAAAATAACATTAGGATGACTGCAGACGAGTACAAAATGCACTCTTTAAAATCATAGAATTAAAAAATAGTAATTAATTTTAAATCTCACCGCAACAAGCTGATAATTAAGGATTGTTTTATAGGAATAGATTAGAATTTTATTTTCTTATGAGGTAATATAAAGAATACGTTTGCTATTTAAAAAGTTTCATTAATACACCCAAAACTCTTCTCCTGTATTATAGAAGAGCGTTTTGAAGAAGCTAGAGGGTACCAACTTATCCAAAACGGTCTTCTAAGCCCCGAAAACTCTTTTTCTTAAACTATTTGAATGCTAATCCAAACAGCTTACAAGCCCAAAAAGTCAAAAATAGCATTTAAAAAGCCAATTCAAACCGGCCTTGAAATTAAAGTTTTGGAATTGGAATTAGAATGGATGGAATTGGAGAAAAATAACTCAGAAATGAACTAAATTTTTTTTCAATTCCATCAATTTCAATTCTAAAACTAAAACTACAATTTCATGAGGCCGAAGACAGCCTAAAGATAAAATTGAGAGTTTTTTTTTTTTTTTTTTTGAGAGTTGAATTGTTAATTACTTGCCATGAATTACTGTGTGAAAGAGAAATTTCATATTAGGTTGATGCAGTGGCGGATCCAAGGGAGGGCTTGGGTGGGCTTGAACCCCCCCTAAAAAAAAAAAAAAAATTTTTTTTTTTAGTATAGGTATATTTAGCCTAATGTTTAAAATAAATAAATAAATTAGTAGTTGTATTAGCTATCCAATTTTAACCCATCCAAACAAAGCCTAATATTTAAGTTACAATTTTAAAATAAAGGCCTAAGTCAAGTAAGCCTTAAACAATCACTAAGCCAAACCACAAAGAACTCCTAAATTCTTAATCTTGCACAAAACAGAGAGCTCACTCATTCTCTTCCTTTAAAGTCTAACCCTATTTTCTCTAAAAAATTTCAACTCTTTAATCTTTCGATTCTCAATTTTTCATTGTTTAATATTAGCCCTTCATTAACAATTCCTGAATTTGTCCTTGACGAGAGAGTTGCAACTTGCAACCTACAACCTACCATGTTTATTAGATTGATGTAACTAGGCAGCTAACTTGTAATGAGATTGCCCTTTACTGCTCCCAAACTGGGTCCAAAAGCTACAATTGAGCAGATCAAATCTACATGTCTCAATTTATTTGTTAGTGGGCATCCGAACGAGTGTGACCGGATTCGAGTTCCTTTTTCTTAATTTGTTAGAATAAAAAATAAATAAGAAAAATTTATTAGTGCTCTTGAACCAGAGCTTTATATTTGGGCACTTAGCTGGTAAGTGCAGTTTTTTCACTCTTTTATTTTTTTATTCTCTCTCTCATGGTGCTAGTAACAACATTTATGCAATCCTGACCTAACTTTTCCGCCATTATTGAATAAAGCATTAGTCCGAACTAAAGGAAAAATTCTACAATATCCGAAAATATTTTAACTAATGGTATCGTCCTCAATCAAAGTATCTCGAGGTACTATGAAAGTATTGTAGAATTTCTCGGTATAGTAATGCAATTAATTGAGAGAAAAGGAAAGATGTTGATTGATCGATTCTCATGATAGGGTTTGTGAGAGGTCACCAGGCATAAGGGTTAGGGAGATTCCTAAAGGTTAATTGACAGGTTCATGCATCAAACTGATTGGAACATGTAAGTTACATATCATCTGAGTATTTATATATAACATAGGATGATAATGGTGATTGCTATTTAAGGTCAGGTCTGCGGTGTTGTCCGGTTTACCCCTGGCGGCCCTTGGAAATTTGGAGGATCGAGTGCTTCCCATCCCCAGTCGTAAGGGTGTGGCACGACATTTTCTACGTAAGAAAAAGTTGCATTAGGTAGCCTACACAGCTAAATCAGACTCGATTTCAAATTTTAAAAAAAAAAAAAAAAATACACAAATTCGAGAGAGTGAATAGACAAGACTTAACTTATTATTTTGTACAAAGTGATTATTCCGTTTGAAACTCGAAGTTGCATTCAAACAGTTGTGAATTCAAACTTTTACCATTATTGTAAGCAATACCCTTTTCACCATCTTACTAAGCAATGAGTGGACTTTGATTTTAGTTTTCACATAAGATAAAAAATGATTAATCTTTCAAAATGACATATAAAAACATAAATTTCCAAAAAAGACAAAAAATCGTACTGATAAAAGAATCATTTCACATGACATTCAAACGCAAACCAAAATTCTAGTCTAACCCATCTCAATAAAGGATTAGATCAACGCACAACTCCCGTTATTGCAAGATCTGAAAGAGTCGGATCACAACAAAACAAACTTATCGTTGCACCAAGGCCTGGCCTCTGGTTTGGCATGCCCTTAACAATCATGAAGTGTACTAACATAGTATAATAAAATTAGCTGTCTTCTTCTTCAGCATTCCCATATAAAAATTTGATGAACTCTTGTCCTACCCAAGATTTTAATACTGGAGAAAAATATAATTACCATCACAAACTAAATAAAAAACATTAGCATTCCAATAGCTACATTGCACAATATAAATCCTCTCAATAAATTTATCTTCTGCAATTGTTCTATGTTTGAGATTTTGAGCAATTAAGTGAGACAAACTATCAGGCGAGTGACTGAAAGAAAATAATAAGAAGATTAAATTACAAATAAAATCATTAAGAACATTTCAAGCCTTTTCCACAGTTCACAGTACCAAAATGAACTCTGGTAACAGTCTCAAGATCCAGGTCTTTTAATGAACATAAATTAAAGATGGTACATGCACCCTCTCTTTCACAAACCCCGTCTTTTTTCGTGGGTTTAAGTTCGAGAATTTCTCTTCTCAGAAAGGAATTATTCAGAAGCACTCACCTATTGAGAGAGCCGAAGAGCATGAAGGAAAAATGTAAGCCTAACTAGTAAGTCTCTTCAGCACCCACTTCTAAAAATAAGGAAAAATTGCATACGTAGAAAGTACACATATAGAACGGTACAAGAAATGGAATTTGCATTAAACTCGGGATTAGTAGGTGTAGCCCTTAACGAACATTCCTTTCTTAGCTTCCTCGCTCTCTTCTTCAGCAGAGTACCTTCCAAGCTGAGCCATGGAATTTGCCTTTGCACGCATCAAAAGCGCCTTTTGTGCAGCTTCTACATTCTCGGGATGTCCTTGCCATGTCTTAAGCACAGAGTTCTGTAGGGCACGTGCATAGGAGAAGGAAACATGCCATGGGTTGGGGCTCTGGTTCATTGCATTCAGATTTAGAGTTGCTTCCATTTCAGATTGTCCCCCAGACAAGAACTACAAAGTAAAGAAATAATTTATTTAGAAATCAATAATAAAAGACAAATAGAAATCAAGAACATATACGTGTGAAAATGGTATAACAACGCATAAATAGCAACAAGGTGCAGAGGCCAAATCATCATTAGTACCAAGATAATTCAAAAGGACACGAATAGATAATTGACCAAGGTATATTGGTATTGGCCATTGACACCATTATTAAGATCCAAGGAGTTGAAACTGCTCTTGTTCCACATCAAACACAAAGTCACAAACAAATATTACTGAATTAGAAAATTGCCATCGTGTGAGTCAATGTAACAGCATCTTAGATGCATTGTTGGCCAAAATTATATCAGCTTGACCATCTCTGTCTTTGTTTGCTAAAGACATTGTAGAATGGTAGTTAAACATAACCATTGGAAATGTTAACCTTCACTGTATTCAGTAAACTTTGGCTATAAAAACTCAAAGGATATAACTCAATCGTTGCAAAAATAGGTATAAGTAATGAAGCACTTTAATTTCACCAAAATTGGTTCAGGAGTTTGTACCATGATTCCTGGAACTGCAGGAGGTACTCTCCTCTTCAGCATGGTGAGTGTATATTTGGCAACAGTCTCTGGAGAAGCTTTCACCTTATGTTCAGCCCCTGGTGTTACCATGCTGGGCTTAAGTAGTATCCCTTCAAACTTAACATTGTTCTCTGCCAAGTAGTAGAAGACTTCTGCCCACACACTCTCTGCCACCTCAAGTGTCCTCTCAATTGGGTGGTCTCCGTCGAGAAGAATCTCAGGTTCCACAATAGGCACAAGACCATTGTCCTACACAAGAAATCACAATAATAAAAAACGATTGCAAAATGATCGAAACAATTTGAGGGGGGAGAAACAGGGATTAAGTAAATAAAAAATAAAAAATCTCAAACAAGTCTGTCTCTTTGTAGACTTGTAGTATTTATTTCAATTCTAATTTGTTTACTCAATGAACCCAAACATCCTCAGATAGGTCCAATGCAAGAGAAATCCAGAATGCCATTTGACACACAATAAAGTAGTGGGGGCCAAATTGATGATTAAAACTTAATAAAACTCTTTAACCTGTCAAAGAAGCAGTCAAAAAACCCAAAAGCTGTAAAACTCTCTCATTCTTTATTAACCACAAAGTTCACAAACCATATCATTATTGATCCATGAGGAGTTCTGTAATGAATAAACATTAAAAGGTAAATACACTCAACTTTTTTGGATGACATCATTTTGCCATGTCCTTGAATCCAGTGCCAAGAAGGCACAAAAATTTGAATTAAATTTTGTATTTCATTAACAATTTGGGTTGGCAGAACTGGAGAAGGCAGGAGTTGAATTTTCATAGGCTAGTACAAATAAGAAATAACTACTCAGGATATTTGCCTTCTACATTAATCCCCTGCATCTCAACTATGACCCACCAAATTTTCCAAACAGTTAATTGTGAATCTATCCATACAAGAACTAATGCTTACAAGCACATTATTTCAAGATTTCCCCCAAAACACACTTGTATTGGAAACTTAGATCAGAAGTTTTCATCTGTGTTTCCTTTTGACACCTAAAGAACCTAGTTTGCAAGCATTGGACGAACAAAGTACTTGAGAGGACAGTTCAGTATTAAATATTCTCTATCTCTTACTTCACTAGACAAGTTTTAGTATATCCAGTAAAAGACAGATTTATAAGATGAAGTAATACCTGAGAGATAGCAGCATAACGTGCGAGTCCCCATGCAGCTTCTTTCACAGCCAAAGCAGAAGGACCACAAGGAATGCTGACAACTGTGCGCCTAGAATTTTATTTCAAACAGACGCAAAGTGGTAAGAACTATGCCATAATATTTCTTTTTTTTTTCCTAGTTGATACTCACACACACGTCTCTTCTAAGACTTGAACCCCTGACCTCCCTTTGGGAAGTAAGAGGCAGATACCACTAGGCCACTAGCCCGTTGGTTCATAATATTTCCTTTTCCACATAAATATAAACTACTATGCTTAAAACCAGAAAGTTTCACATAAACTAACAGGTACATGTATGTGCAAGATAAGAAATAACTTACCACTTTGCAAAACGAGCACCTTGCTTATAGTATTCAGCTGATCTAGAAGCCAATCCATCTAATCCTTGGCACCAAGATTCATTGTTGGATCCTGGTAGGGGAACCAAACCCTGAAAACATGTGCAAAAGATGACAATTGGGAGAGAGAAGTTATTACTAAGACAAATATCTCAGGTCAAATGATGAAATATAAAATTTTCTAAAACTATGGCAAATGTCATGAAAGCATACCTTGTCAACTTTGATGCCCGGTACAATATTTTCTTCATTCAAGCAATCCACAAACTTCTTCCCATTTGTTGTCGACTGATAAAGAGTCTCCTCGAAGAGAATGGCACCAGAAATATATTCACCAAGGCCAGGAGTAGTCAACAAAAGTTGTCTATACGCTTGCCGGTTGACTTCTGTATTGTCCAGGCCAATAGACGCTAACCTCTTCCCACACGTAGCATTTGATTCATCAATTGCAAGGATACCACGACCAGGAGATGCAATAGATTTCTAACCCATCCAAAAAGAAACAAAAGGTAAATAAGACTGCATGTTTGCACACGCACACACATATACATCTGGCTTATATATTTTCACATCGATGCACACTCTATTGGTAGTTTGTAGTATGATAAGATCATAGAAATTTGTAGCACTATAAGCTAAAAAAGAGCTTTTTCTCATAGCATAACAAGTCAGAGATCTTAGATTAAGAAGCATATATTTATCAGAAGAAAAGTAGGGTAAGAGAACAACGAAAGAAAAGGGAATCATCCCGACAAAATAAGAAAAATAGATACAAAAGACAACTTGGACAGTGAACAATTTGTTGCAATGCAAATAAAAGCGTTAGGTTCAAACAGTCAAATCAACGCCAATAGAAGCCTTTCTCCATTAATCGGTTCCATTTTCAAAAAAAATTCGTAGAAAATTCAAAACGTTGACATAATTTGGCAAACAATTCTACCAAAATATAATTTTTCTGTAAACAAATGACTGTCCTTCCAAGAAAAGGAACCATATGAAGAAACATACTAGACAGGCTATTCAGAAAGTCAGGGTTTTGGAAGTCAAAAACACAGATTTTGGAAAATCAAGTAGGTAAATATGAATTTAACAAACCCCATTAACTAGGAAAAAAAGAATTTAACAAACCCCATTGGTGAATATGATGTGTTCACAAACACAAACTGTCGTATCAGCATTAAAGGAATTCAATTACTCGGTCGTGCTAACAAAGATCACATCATTCAATAAATTAATCATCTTTCCATATAATAATTGTCAATATATATGTGTATATATATATATATATATATGTATATATATATATTTAATCATCTTTTCTATAAATTATATCGTTTCGAGCAACCATGATTCTTTAAAAATAAGAAGTTCTGTAATAGAGTGGGTTATCATCAATTACAGGAATAAAAATATATGCAAACCAAACAACACACACCAAAAAATCGCAAATTAAGATCAAAGTTCACAAATTTAACAGCTAATTAATCAACGTATACACAAATCTTCAATGAGAACAAGCGAGAATAAAAGCGAACAGAGCTTTTAAACAAAAATAATTCAATGATAAGTAAACAAAGCATGCAAACAAGCACTAAATTTACACACACATTTGTATATATATTTTATAGTTGTGTGTTTGTTGTATGTGATTAATTGATGGGGGAAAAAGGAACTCACGGCGGTTCGGACGAGCTCGTCGGTGTAAGATCCGGCGCGGACGACGGAAAGGCGGTGAGAGGCCAACCTAGGGGACGATCCAGGCCGTTGACTAAAGGATTGTTGACCAATCCACTGTGAAGACGATGCGTTCAACTTTACCAAACTCGAGCACGCCATTGATACAACAACTGATCAATCACGAGCTCTATATATATATACACACGAAAATGTGTGTGTATTTTTCTCTCCGATGTCGTCACCGGTTTATAGAAATTATAGTTTTGAGCGGAGACGAAGTTAAACGTCTTTTGTTTTCTCTGCAATGAAAAGGTAACAATAGGACAACATAGATGAGTGTCTACCAAACAGTCCTTATCGAATTTTTCCGTGATGCCAAGAATGCCCTCTTTATAATGAGCAAATTATCTGGTCACAGAGATAAAATTCCCAAACCGTCCTCATTGGATTTTCTATTTTCGGCCTTCTGTCCCAACAAACACACTACCAGCTTCGCCTATCATGCTCGTGATATAAGTTTAGTTATAAATATATATAATATTTTCATGCTCGGGTTGGACTTTGGGTTTCATCGCACATCAATCCAAGCTCGGACCGAATTGATTTCTGGCTCAAAATATTCAGTCCAAACTCAAACCGAAATTAGAAAAATATTGCCTAAGCCCATAAATTTCGAGCTGGACTCAAGTTATTTTGGGTTGGGCTCGCCTGAGTTGCAGCCTTAAGTGTGCTCGAGTTTGATGGATGGAGTTGTAATGCAAATGTAATTAGACTTCACTAGTATTTAACGAGTGAGGTGTAAATTGAATTTATTCGCCAAATACCTATTATTTTTAGGATAATGCGTAGGTACTCACGGTGAGTAACTTCACCCTACTTACCCCTTCCGTGTTTCAATAAAAATTAACACATAAGTTTTAATAACAAAATTAGTAAAATAATTTAAAAAAAAAAAGTCAGATCGACCCCCCTTTCTCTTTTCCTCTCTCTCATCGATTCCTAAATCCACGCCCTCCTATCTCCACTGTTCTTTCTCTCATCGATTTCCAAATCTACCGGTTGATCACCAAACCAATCTCGAGATACCTGTCTATGGAGATAGGAAACCCCTTGTCTATTCCATACTGAATGTCACCGACAGAACTGCTTAATAAACTGAACCAGGGCATGTTGAGCGCCCACACGCAGCCCTTTGCAAGTTGAGTCGGCTTGGGACGCTTGCTCGCTGTCCTTAGTTTGCCTTTCAGTTCAAACTACTAATGCTTTTGTTGTTGAATGGGACGTGATGCTTTTTACCAACGAATCTCCTTTACTAATACTTGGTAATTTGAATGTAAAAGGTCTATTTAGACCTTGTATGCATAGGGAAGTAAGGCATGTATGGAAAGAGCCAAGGCTGAACGCTAATTGGGCAACAGTTTCTAGATCCACTATCAGACCTCACTTTACATGCAAAGCACGAGGAAGTTGAAGGGTAGATCTATGAAGGTGAAAAGAAGAAAAATAGTGGAGAGAGAGGAGGGCATGGGTTTGGGAAGCAATGAAAAAGAGAAAGGGTGAAGAAGAAGAACGGTGGAGAAAGTTGGGGGAATGGATGAAAGAGAGAGAGAAAAGAGAAAGAGTTTTTACCCAATTTAAACGGTGTCTATTAAAACTGATGTGATTTAAACGAGTCGATCCAACTTTCTTCTCTTTTTGCTAATTTTGTTATTAAAACTGACATGTTATTCTTTTATTAAAACACATAAGGAGTGAGTGGTGTGAAATTACTCATCAATGAGTAACTAAGGGTGCGTTTGGATAAGTAGGAGAGAAAAGAAATGAAATGATAGTATTAATTATAAGAGAAAAGAAATGAAATGAAATGAAATGATAGCAATAATTTCTATTTATATTTGAATAGATAGAAAAGAAAATTAGTATTCTTATTTGGATATGATAGAGGGTAGAAAAATGATAATAATGAAATTATTATCATATCCTTTAAAATAGATGGGATATGAGTGAAATAATAATTTCTTCCTTTTAATTATTGAGGGTAGTTTCGAAATTATTAAAATACTACTTAAACACTATCATTTCTCTCCCTATCTTCTTATTTTTTGAGAGATAGAGCTATCCCTCCCTATCCTTTCTTTTCTCTTATTTTAACCTACCCAAACACAATTTACACTATCCTTTCTTTTCTTTTCTCTCACTATCCCTCCAAATCTCTCAATCCAAACATACTCTGGGCATTGTCCTTATTTTTTTATAAATAAAAGACTCTAGTTTTGTCACAAATTTTAAAGGACTGTTTTGTCTTTTTAGCACGGTGCAGATGGGTACCCTCAAAGTGTTAGAATTTTAGGATTTGAAGGGATGGGCCAGTGGAGGGAGGGGGCGGCGATAGTCTCATCGACCCACTCTCTCTCTGTCAACCTAACATTGACAACCTCCCTCGTGATTAACTCCATCTCCACTGAACTATTTGGAGTCTTGCGTAACTGAGAATGAGATACAATCATAACATAGATAAATGTATACATATAAAATTATACATATACTACAATTTTTATAAACCATCAACTTTAATTTTTTTTTTTTTTTTTTTTTTTGACCTTTTATCAATTGAACGCACCTTTATGGCCGCTTCAATAGCCGTAAAGCTAAATGTACTGTAACAAGTCTATCATTTGAGCAACTAAAGATATAAAATAAAACTCTTAAAGTCTTAATCAAACTCAAACCCCAACCTAACCTCCAGACAATTCACCTACCCTAATTTGGTTTCATCAATCATACATAGCTCATAACTTCATAAGCAAACATCACCAAATAGTCAAATACTCAAATAGTTAACCTTATCGTGAATATATTTTATCATTTTTATACTCTAAGCAAATTCTCATTTTTATACGTTTTTTGTTTTTAATTTTTACTATTTATCCTTTTGCATCCCACTCCCGAATTCGTTCTTATTCCTCATCTAACTCAGGTCATAATTAAGATAAGAAAATGAATTAATGATTAATCCATTATTTAAGTGTACAATAATTGAATACTTTTGAGTTACTTGTTCCAAAGAGCATGATCCCAACTTGATTTTCACTTACCCATCACCATTTGATTATCGGTTATGATGTCCTATGGTCCATCGAAAAATGTGGACCCCTGCTGCACCCAAACACTGTCAGCTTGTTAATAAAGTATGCATTAATGTATAGGATAAGAACAAATCTCACCGTATCAATCCCTCAGGCCTTAATACATTGGCATTCATGCACGCATACAATTCCAAACTGGGCTCAGTATAATAAACCAAAACCGAAAAGGCAAAGCATTAAACCAGAAGACAAACAAGTCCATTGAAAGATATTTAAGGTAAATTAATCAATAAACAGGGGCCAATATTTGGTTTTGACATAATGTGAATTTTGGAAGCAATTGCAGTACAAACAGTGTACTTGCAGTAATACTAGTAGGCTTGTTTGATTTGTAATTATGAAAACAATTTTTTGTTTTTCAAAAATTGAAAACAAAAAATTGTATAAAAAACTCAATTTAATTTAATTTTTTGAAAACTTAATTATAAAAAAGTTTGTTTTTACATAACAGTCTTTTATATTTCTCTTAAAACTGTCCTCTATTTTTAAAATTTTTGAGAATCGTTTTCAAAGTTACAAACCAAGCATGCCTAATTTTTTTTTTCAACTAGCATTCTATTGTAGTGCAATTTTTTTCTTACTTCTCTCTTGAGTATATATAATAAATAAAATAAAATATTGGTTTTTGTGTCCTAGTTTAAGCCATTTTGCATCTCTACCAAAACGTGCATTCTTAATTTCAAAAAAGATATCACTAAGTTATAGTCCAGATGATACCAACATACAATTTAAATTAGCATAAGAGGAAAATTATTGAAAAGTGTTCTTCAATTTCAATTTCTAAGTACAAAAGCCTGGGGACAAAATTGTCAATTAAATTCGATAACAGTTGGTGAATAGGAAATTAGGAATAAATTATACTTATCTGCATTTGCCAATATTTTACGCAGGCCTCCTTCATATTTTATAATTTTATTTACGTTGACAAATATGTTAATGTCAGCAATATAAAATTGATAGAAGATCGGTTACATTTCTAATGTCTGAAATGATGGTAAACATCTCATAAACAAACACAATAAAAAATAAGTAAAATTATAAAATATAGATGATATCTATATGGAATATTGATAAATTTTTAAAAAAAAATTAGTGAAATTTACCGTTAATAATTTTACAAACTTTATGTCAGTTTCTGACTAAAAACTCTCGAATCTTATAAAAATATTTTAATCACCTCCGTATAATTCACCTATACTATTTTGATTGAAACAATCTTAACTCGTAAAAAATATCAACAATACTAAAATATTATGTCTAGAAACATCGTATCCAATGCTGCGAAACATAACAAAATAGGAAAACATCATAAATAACATGTCTATCTTAAATGTATAGTCATAATTAAGTCAAGAAAATGAATTAATGAGGTCCATTATTCAAAGTATACAATAAATGAATACTTCTGAGTTACTTGTTCCAAAGAGCATGGTCCAACTTGATTTTCACATGCCCCAGTCACCATTTGATCATCGGTACTGATGTCCTATTGTCCATCGATAACCGTGGACCTCAGCTGCACCCAAACACTGTCCCCTGACTAATAAATGAATTAATCAACGGACAAGAACAAATCACCATCTCAATAAACCCTCAGACCTTGAACACATTGCATTCATGCACGCACACAATGCCAAACTGGCTCTGTATAATAAGCCAAAACCCAAAACCGAAAAGGCAAAGCATAAATTAAACAGAAGACAAAACGAGGTATTAATGGTAAATTAGTCAATAAACAGGGGCCAAGACTTAACTTACCACCCCAAAACGCCTCTACGTGTTAGCGTTCATGGCAAAGTTGGCAACCTATTAATCCGGACCCCTTAAACGTTCTCGTCAGTTTCGTTTCAGACCTAGCCTAGGGCACAGTACTCTCTCTCTCTCTATATATATTACACATAAATATGTTGATACACACATCACTGAAGGTGTTTGTTGAAATACCTGAGTGAAAAGATAAATGGGAGTGTCATTCAAGGTTGCAAAGGCCGGAACAAGGTATAGGCCAAAGCAGGGTCAGACTGAGGAGAAAGAAATTGAAAATGACTCACCAACTGAGTCTCAGCAGAGAGAAAAAGAGGTATATATACACAAACAACCCACATATATGTATATTGTCTATGTTTTAATGTCTCTGTTATTTGTGTCTCTGTATATGTGGTTAACTTTGCAAGTCTAAAAGTGGTGTTTTTATTTTAATTTTTACGTTTCTATTTGTTGGGGGGTTTTGGATATCTAATGGTTGCTTATTTATCTTCTGTAATGGGCAACACAGTTTAGTTGTATTGTGAATGAAAGCTGTGGTGTGTGTCCTATGATTTCTAGTGAATTCTTTTCAATAGTTTATTTATTTGATAAATTATTTTCAATAGTTTATTTGCAATACTTTTCAATAGTTTATAATTCCATTAGATGTAGTATGTGTTACTTTGGGGCTTTTTATTCTTCATGATCTTTTTGGTGGTGATTGTGCTTTCAGAGCTTGGTGATATCACCATTAGATGCCCTCTTTCTTCATTATATATATATATATATATATATATATATATATATTTCAATTTTGCGTGAATTTTTTTCCCCTTCAATAATCAGGTGTTGGGAAGGAATGTCGATGCATTGTGAAATACATTTTTTTTTTATTTTAATTTTTCTGTTTCTATTTGTTGGGGTTTTGGATATCTAATGGTGTTGCTTATTCATCTTCTGTAATGGGCAACACAGTTTAGTTGTATTGTGAATGTAAGCTGTGGTGTGTGTCCTATGATTTCTAGTGACTTCTTTTCAATAGTTTTTTTATTTGATAAATTATTTTAAATAGTTTCTTTTCAATACTTTTCAATAGTTTTATAGTTCCATAAGATGTAGTATGTGTTTCTTTGGGGCTTTTTATTCTTCATGATCTTTTTGGTGGTGATTGTGCTTTCAGAGCTTGGTGATATCACCATTAAATGCCCTCTTTCTTCATTATATAAATATATATATATATATATATATTTATATTTATATTTTTTTCAAATTTTTGTGTGAAATTTTTTTCCCCTTCTATAATCTTGGTGTTGGGGAAGGAATGCGGATGCATTGTGAAAGATTTTTATTTTTTATTTTTTATTTTTTCATAGTAAAAGAATAATTAAAGGAAACATTGGATAAAATGTCTTTGGTATGTGTGCAAGTTTCTAATAATCAAAATGAAAGTAAGCCTCACCAGAGGGGCCTACATATTTTCAGATCATTCAGTAGAGCTATAAGCTAATTATTTTGTTTATCATCTAATTCATTCATATTATTTAATGGTCTCTGAAATCTCTTAGACTAACAAATCTCTATATTTGGGGACACTATTTAGCATGCCCTCATGAGCTCAGGAAAACAGCCTTTGGATTCAACCCCGACTCTTTTCCTCCCATTAATGCAAGGTTGCATTTGACGAATTTTGGCTTTTCCGATAGAATTGTTTGTATTTTTCTTTTATTTATTATGCACTAAGTTGGGTATTATCATCCGAAGCAGACAAAATTGCTTTCCTGTTGTCACTTCTAAAGTCTGCAAAAATCCAAGATTATTGAATTGTTGTTTTCATGAAAAATTATTACTTTATCAAATAATAAGTTTGCGACTCAACAATCACTTATAGGGGGAATTAATACTGACTGTTCACAATGAGTTAAATAAACTTACATTTTATTTACATGTACAATGTGCAACAGCTTGTTCTGTTACCGTTATATATATAGTAGTTTATTATTATGGATTTAATTTCACTTTAAATGCACTTGTCCTTGGGGGTATTTATTTCCTCTTAGGATCTTTAGGTCTTTTATACATCTTTAAAATATCAAGACTACTAAACTTGAAGTTGTTAAGGAGTTCAGATACAATAATATTTTGGGTGGTTCATTTTGTCATATTGCACCTGTTGCACACTCCACAATGTGCAATAAGTAGCATCCGAATGATCTTTTTCTAATATCTATATCTTTATATCGAAAGGGCTAAACACAACAGCTACTCTGAATCATTGGTACTTTCGCAAAGCTGATTATTCTTAGATGACTTTATTATATAGTCGCATACCACTAAACAATTGGTTAAATCATCCAAGTAGCATGGACACTGTTGATCACATCATTAGCATGCCTTGAACATCAGCTTGAGCATTTTTAGTGTTGAATTAGTATATAATTCCTAGGAAAAAATCAAGGGTGGATATCCTAAACTCTTAAGGAAGAATTCAGATATAATGTTGGTAAATCGTTTTGACTTTGTCCCAAGCCCATGTTCATTCAATACTTTTTCTTTAGCAAGTAAGAACACGCACACATACAGAATGCTCCAATGGAGACTTGAACCCTCAATCTTTCACTTGGGAAGATGAGGAGATACCCATGTCCATGCAACACAACCCTCATTTTTTCTCTCATCGATTCTAATATAAGTAAATAGAAAATATGATTGTTTTCGTAGTCCAATATACAACTTATTCTAATATATAACTATTTATATATGTTAAATTATGACAATCAAAATTCAAGTTTGACTTGTTGCGAAATGACTCCATCTTTGGTATGGAGTGGAGGGTGCTTTTCCACCTAGGTGGGGGGTGGTCTAATCTTGAGAGATCATATTGGTCGCCCTGTTCGAGTGGCCACAGTCTTCAACTATATGTGGGATGCTGAGAGCTTGCTCTCAAACTCCTTTCTTGGTTCTCAAACTCCTTTCTTGGTGGGGCTATGATAATGTGGATGTCGAAGGGGATTGCTTTAATGTCTACAATCTCTCTCCTTTGTCTGAGCTTTCTTCAATTTTCATTGATGTTTCCTTATGATTGTTTATGTGCTTGTGTCTTGGCATGTCTGTGTTATGTGTATCCTTGTTCATGATTCAAATGTAATTTTAAATAGGTTGCGGGTTTGTCTTTATTAAGCATATATTATTGTTGTGTCTTGGCATGCCCTTTTTGTGTGTATCCTTGTTTTGGTTCTTTTAACTATTAATAAGTTCCGTTTGGTTATTCACTTTTATATCCGTATAATAAACCATTCATTCTTCTTTCTTTTCATATAGTTGCTTATTATTTTAGTAGTAATATTTCAGATTTTCTTGTTGCTTTCTAATTTTCTCTTCATTCACGAAGCATTAACTTTCCATAACCCTTGAACAAAATTTCAAGCATAACATGTCGATTGTACATAATTTTTGTGGCATTGGAAGTGAGTTCCTTGAACCTATGTCTTGATGTAGGGAGATCTTGTTGGGGTAGGAGATAAAGTTGCTGGTCATTCAAATGCATTGGCCAAACGTCGATCACTCTTAGTTTCAGAAGGTGAAGTAAACAATTTTCTTTTTTCATGATCTGTAGAGATTCTTGAGAAGCCCTTCACGTATGGCAATTTTTATTTTTATTTATATTTTTTGCAGATTTTGAGGTTTCATTTTCACTTAATTTGTTCCCAGACGGATTTTCCATTGGAAAAGCTAACGAGGTCAGTAATCTTAAAAAAATTAAAGTGTAATGATTCCCATCATTGGCAGTTATCACACTGCAGTCATTCTCTCTTACAAATTCCTTCCCTTGGCCATTAGCACGGCTTCATTGGTATTCTGCATATTTGCAGTCACTCAATGTTGTTTCAAGGCAGTTACATCCATATGACAGGGCGTCGGAGACACTTTTCTGTGTAAGTTTTCCTACTCCTTTCACGTACAGGGGGAATCTGGGATTGAATTTAACCTCTTAAAACAATTCATCTTTTTACTTTCTTGTTTGGTAGGTCATCTTTTTATATTCTACTTGAACTTTTACAGGACTTATAAGTGATAAATGATATGCTTTTTTAAAGGAAACAGTATGTTACGTTGGTGAATCTGACTTTAAGGGTTATCATATCACATTTATGTGTGGACTAACTAAACATTTGATGCTTTCTTTACATGGGAACTGCTCATTGAGGGCTTGCTTACACACATAGTATCCTAATTGAAAGTAAATTATATTCAGGCTTGGTAATAGTAAAGGTAGAATGCAAGAGTACCAAACCTTGTCATTTTAATTAAAATGAAATCTTGTCAATTTTATAAACTATTTTTAGTGCCTCATATTTTGTTACATGACCATAATTTTACAATTACAAGTATTTAACAGCGTTTAAATTACTTTACATTTCATTTTTATGATTCTTTACGTTTTTATTGAATGAATGGAGTGATTCAAATATTATGTGAAGTCATAATGCCTTAATGATGTAACTGTTGTTGGATTTTTTGGTGATGGCTAACTGTATGCTGTATAAAAGGGCAAACCCAGTACATGAGGCTCCCACTGTTTCGGGGTCTGGGGAGGGTTAGACTGGTTAGATGTACGCAACAATGCCTCTGCATGCGGAGATCCTGTTTCCGTGTTTCAATGATTGGTGAGTCAAACCCGTGACATGATACCTGTGTTCAAAAGTGTCTCCCATCGATTTAGACAACTACAAATAAATCCACCCTTAACTTGAAAAATGGTAAATGGAAGTATAATATAACCTTTTGTTATAGGTCCTATTATGAATCCATTAGTTTCTTCATAATATCAGAAATTTAATGCAACACCAACCCATTAAATACAATGTGGCTATTATATTTTGCCTTTGAATGTGCTTATAAATACATAAATATTTTGCCTTTGACAATTAAAGGCAGTTCTTGGTTATTTTACATTTGCAAAGGTGTTTGCCACATCAAATGCCTTGTGCATCTCAACAGGTTGCTTGCAGGTCTGCTACTTTGTCATACTGAATCTACTTTGTAGTAGTTCTAGGTCATTATTAAAATTGCTTGAACACATCCAAGAATCTCCAAACTTTCTGTTCAAGAATTTTTATGCCTGTTCTAGATTCTTGTTGAAGAACATTGAAACATAGCAAGGTCCATTCCATATTTCGGCCACTGAATTTGAGGACAAGAAAGTCTCAAGTGTCCACTCTTGCATGTAACTGTTAATAGAATCCCAATTTCGTCCTCTGTTTTCCTTCTCTTCCAACTAGATTATTTTCTGTCCTTGGGTCAACTTAGCCAAGTCTTTTCCTAACTATTTGAGGTCAGCTACATAAATTGATTGCTTAACTCATTTGTTTGCCATCAAGCAAAATGATTCCCTTATTTTCTTCTGATATCATTTGTTCTTGTAGTTAAATCATTGAAGATTAAGTCATACCGATACCAGATATTGAAATGTTGGAAATAAAGTGATTAATTTTATTATATGCATTTAATTGCCAGAAAACTTATATTATATGCATTTAAGATTTGTGGTTATCAAGTATATAATATTTTCAGTTTTCAGTCTATTACTAAATCTTTTCTCTTTGAAGAAGATTACTGTGAAGAGATGATCCTTTTTTATAAACTCATTTCTATTTCATGCCTGTTATTTGCATTAGGCAATTGAATGTGGTTGTCTACCTGGAGATATTTTTGATGATATACCCTGCAAATATGTCAATGGAGCTCTTATATGCGAGGTGAGATAGAAATTATAAATTTCAATTTGAATTTAAAGGAAAGTTTCTTTCTGGTGATATATAAGTATATATGCATTTTTTTTTTGTTCTTTTGTTATATGTTGATTGCAATCCAGGTGTTAAAATTTTGTCTCCAGTCTCTGCTGAGATAAATGATTTTTTTTATCCTTCCTGCAATTTGTTAGACTTGTGCAAGTTCTACTTTCTTGTTTGCTCATTTTTTTTCCCATATTCCATGTAGTCGCTAGTCAATTAACACGAGCTTTGTGCAGCCTCATTTTGTTGTCTTGATATTGTTCACAAGCCCTACTTTCTTCAGGCATGAATTGCTGCATGTCTGAGCTGCTTAGATATGTTAGATGTAGTTGATATATTTTTATGCCATAATTATTGTATATAATATACAAGTTTTACAACACGTGTTAGACTATTATAATTAGTTAATAGGCTCATTTTGGGATCTTCCTATGGAATGAAATTTGGAAGTTCAAGGCTGCTTCCAATTTGGCATTCTTTGAATAGTTGGCAGCTTACTGGAAGATAGTGATGACTGACAACTTGACTATTAGGGTTATTTTTTACCTTATAGTGATGACTGACAACTTGATTATTAGGGTTATTTTTTTACCTTATAGTGATGACTGACAACTTGATTATTAGGGTTATTTTTTTACCTTATTGGTGTTATATGTGCATGGGATATAAGTGTTGGTAGTTTCATCTTCTTATTCATTTCAAACTAGGAAGAGAGTTTTGGCCAGTAGTGCTGGCTTTTTCTGGTATATCATGGGTTTCCTAGAATTTGGCGGTTAAGTTATTTCATAGTTGGGGTGGAGATCAAACATGGTAGAGGCGGGAACGGGCTTGACATATGGGCCTCTATGCCTTATGTGGTGCATTTGGAGAATCAATGCTCTTTAAAGTGATTGAAGAGCCAATCTATAAATTATAGAGTTACATTTTTGGTGTCTTATATGGTCGGAAGACAGGGAGGGTGAACCCCACCACCAAACTTTTTCTTATTTTTATTTTTTAGAGAAATTAGAAATTTTATTTTCTGTATGCATAGATTGTGTGTGCCTTTGCTACGCTTCCATGATGTCACCACTAAGTGAAATCCTTTTACTATTAAAAAAAAAAGAAAGAAAAAAAGAGAAGAAAAAAAGCTGATTGCACAAGTTCGCCCTTTGTATATACATTATACACTTGGGCTCTGTGTTCATTAATAGTATGGTAAACTATCTAATAGTCTCGGCATGTTATAGCCTTGTGGAAATTCCTAATATTGTCTTTTCCCAGTTGAGAAGAACTAAAGAAATTGATGGAGTTATAATAACACATTATTTGAGTGAATCGTTAACTCTTAACACCAAACTTAGAGTTTGAACTTTGAAGTGAGCAGTAACGGACCCAGAGAATTGTTTGAGAGGAGGCGGCCTTGTTGAACAACTATAATGTATAGTGGGGTATCATTAGAAATTGAGTGGGGGCATATTTAAAATTTTCACAAAAAATAGGGACATTTTAAAGATGTAGAGGAAAGGTAATGAATCTTCTAATTAATTGTGCCTTTAAGGCTAAAATTCAGAGCTCAAATTCCCTTGATGGTGAATCACAATTGTAGTACTATTGTAGTAAAGGATAAAGCCAACAAAAGTGCTACTTACCCTAGAATATGGCAAAATAAGGTTGGACTTATTAAGCTTTTATAGCCTGCTAAATTAGAAGCTATAATATGACAATTTAGTCTTAAACGCAAAACCATTTTTCCTTTATTTTCTCAATGCTGGATGATAGTGGAAAATATTTTATTGACCCAGTATTATTTTTTCTTTTTCTTTTTCTACTTTATTTGTGGCTTGATGTCTTATGTTAGTTGAACCTTTTTGCTTAAACCTTGATATCCTATAAGATTTAATTATTTATCTTAATATAGCTTGCAAAAAGGATTGCAAAGTGCTCGTGTTATAGCAAATTGTGGTATTGCTTTTAAATGACTTTACTGAAATCAAATTCCTATATTGTCAAGAGAAGAGTATATCTTATTAATTTCGAGACATTGAGTTTTGGGGCAGTAAACAGGCATTAATTCACAGTAATAGAAATAAAAGTGTGATAACATTTGGTGCTCCTTTGAAACCAAGTCTTGGTTCAAGTTTTTTAAAGCACCTAACCATAGCTATAAAACTCTCTGAAAACCAAGCCTGTATACAATAACTGTACCATTAAAACTCTGAAAAATCATTTCCACCTTGCCTTGGTTTATGTAACTTAATGTTCTTCTTTTGAGTATGGTGCTAATTTGGCAAGCAGGTTCTATAAGCTCATGTTTAGAACTTCACTACCGAAGTCAGGCACTGCAAACTCCATACAAAGCTCAAAGAAACTCTGTTTTATGCTGCTCACCTTTTCGAACTGTGACTTCATACACACTTAGAACCTTGTTAGGTTCAGTGTATTATTGTCACATTATTGTAACTATATCATGAGAAAACCTCATATTAACTTGAGGCATTTTCTTTTTATCAAGGAAGTTAAAAAAGGTCATATGGAAATTAGTTTTGATAAGTAATCTAAGGCATTCGAAAGCAATATGCCAATATATATGTTAAAGAAATTCCAAGAAATGATGTTATGATCTCTTTGTTGCTCAAGTTTTCAAATTTAAAAGAAAGAGATATCATTTGATTATTTTTCTTTCTGAATTGATATTAGTAAGTTTATTTTGGATAAATCTTAAATCATTCGTAAGATTTAAGTTTCTGCTTTCTTATTTTAGTTATTATAATATAATTCAATATTAATCCTTGGAATAATGCTAATTCTAATCATAAGCACTTCTTCTTCTTCTTCGATCTTCTTTTTTTATTTATTTATTTGTATTTTGAACTGAATTTTATAAAAGGGACACAGGGGTGCAGCTCATGTACACACCATATCAACAAAATGCACACTTAACTGTGTCAAGTCTTGAATTAGATTGGATGGTCGAATAGGGAATCTACTGAAATTAGTAGTTGTGGAAGGGGTGGAAGATGCTTTATAGAATACACGTACTCACACGGTCACGCCACACCCTCAGAAGGACACTTGGTCCTCTCTTATACATCTCATTGCACAAAAAGGAGCTGCATTCTGTGTAATATTTTTCCTCCTCCATACTTTGCTCCCACTCCAACTGTGAATAAGACCTGCCACTGATTTGGAAGCACCCCAAGACATATTAAACATTGCCATCCGAAGAGATTACAAGTCTTGCATCACTGTAGAATGAAGAACAAGATTGTCCATTGACTCTCAGTTTCTTGGCATCTTGCATATACAACACCAGATGAGGAAGAAGTTTGTGCCCTTCACAATATTCATTAATTATAGGAATCTTGTCAAACACTGTTGTCCAAGAAAAAAACCCAATCTTAGATGGAACCTCAGCACCCCATATACCTCTCGACGGAGTCTCTGCATATACAAATGTAAAATGTCTATCTGCGTATATTTTAGAATTTCTTACTTTCATTGAACCCTTGACCTTCCAAGGACATGAGCAATTCCTCCCAACCTCCCCGTACCTAGTTCTGCACCCGATTTCTTGTTCATATGGGGCACCATAACGTTTCTTTTGGAAATATTTTTGATAATAGAGAGCTAGAGTGTGCACTTTCCATGTAATTGTCTATGTCAAATTGTCAATCGACCAATATGCTTCTTTGCAGATACGAGATTATAGAAATATTTTGTCTCAAAAGGGAAACACTGTTTCTTCTGCTGGGAAATCTCCAATCATACATAAAGTGGTCCTACAGATGTGCATGGAGAACATTGTCAAGGATGTCTCATCAATTTCAGATGATTCTTGGACGTACAAAGATTTATTGGTCAGTGGACTTGATTAGTAAGTTTTTGCATGGTTTTTTCATTTTCAATTTTAGACTGTTACCCAGATGTTATGATTATCTAATTGGTGATGTTTTAGGAAGTTGAGGCCCGCATTCTCAAGACCCTGCGACCTGATCTTCATTTGAATCCAAAGCCAATGCTGAACAGCTTCTGTGAAGATCCTCTTACAAAAAAGGTACAAGCCATAGTAAATTTCTGCAGTTTTCCAAATTTTTTGAGAAGTTCCAAGTTAAATGAAGCCCATGTTGAGGAACCCTTAACCTGCATAAACTCACTTATGGATATTGTGCTTATTAACCAAAATAATTATTTTAATTATTCGTTATTTCTAAATAATGCCAAATTGACAACATATACTTCATTTTTTTTTTTACATTTTTTGTTGGCTTCTCAACCTAAATTATTTTAATTAATTTCCATCTCTGTGTGTTTTTTTTTTTTTTTTTTTTAAAGTTATGGTTTCACTGGAAAGATCAATCACATCATTATCAGTAGTATGAATACATATCATATTTTCCAGTTCAGTACTTGATTATGTTTGGCAATTGTTGCAGCTGAATCTGGGAATAGCTTGGAACAGGAAAAAGAGAAAGCTAAGTAATGAATTAGCAACTGGCCTAGAGTTATGTAACTCATTCCCTGGAACCCACATATCGGATGTGAATATCACCCAGAATTCGCAGTGTCAACCTGATCTACCATCTCAAGATAGAGGAGTTCCGTGTTCGCAACATATTGTCCAAAGTCCTATCGTTACTTCACAGGAAAACAACATTATGAATGGCACTATTTCACAGTCCTCTGCTTCACAGTTCCAGTCAAACTATCAATTAGCAGTTGATAGCCACCAATCTGTTTCTAACTCTTTAACACCATCAAGTTTTGTCTCTTCACCCAAACCAAATTATAATAACTGTCTCAGTAACCTGAGAAAACCCAGTACGTTGACCCTTGGGGAGAGGGAAAAATGTGGAAAGGTGGCTAATCAAGAGCATATAATTAAGAAACCGAAGCAAGAGCCACTGGACTTCTCTCAACAGCAACTTCCAGGGAGACTAGCTGAAACCACTCTTGACGCTGAGTTACAGAGGAAGAACAAACTATTCAAACATAGAATTGAAGCTGAAAAAAGTTCACGTGAAAGAACTCATGACAATGCACATCCCTCACTGTTAATGAGTAGTGCTCAACAAGCACCCCTTGAAGGTATCCCAAAGTTACAGCATGGAATGCTCACTTGTAGATTGAAAAAAAAACCAACTGAAAGCAATAGTTTCCCCAGTTTGGATTCTCAGAACACCAAAAGTAAATGTAATATAATTGGCATTAGAAACAATCAATCTAGTCTTCAGCAATCACAGTTGTTGCGGTCATCACCAGTGATGAAAGCTGATGGCCCTCCTACCCCGATGCAGTGGAATCACATGGGCCAATCTGTTGGCAAAAATATGACGAATGTAATTTTTAATCAGAAGGGTAGAGCTTCACGGAATTATCAGGTTTTTACTGGCGTCGGAAATGCATCTGTTAGTTCTTGTTTTAATGATTCTTTGCCTAGAGAGGCATCTGTATCTACAAAGAGAAAATCAAATTATCTCCCTAAGGGCTTGAGTATGAACAGAGTTGAATCTCCTGCAAACACCAGTATTATGAATACTGCCAATGCAATTTGTCCGTCAGTGGATTCTCCTATGTGCCGGCCTTCAGGAATTGTTGGCCCTGTCTCAATCCTTGAGACTTCTGTGCCCGGGCCTTCAGTAATTGGTGACCCAATCCTTGACAGGGTTTCAAAAATGAAATTGGTGTCTCAGAGGTGCGTACCAAAGTACTCTCATCTGTGTACAAACATTTTGTTATGTGATGGTGCAAAACATAATTCTTTCTATGGATTCAGGTATGGACTGAATCAGAGGAAGTGTAAATTCAGCCAAGTTTTGGAAAGGAAGCAGATTTTCCACACAAAATTGGTAGCCCTCCACCTCATGCACTCCAGGGATAAAGAAAACTCGAAAGATTCTCACACAAATAGAACATCTTACTCTAGGACATTGACATTTGCACGATCATCTCATGCTTCTCAAGGTATTCCCTGCCTGAAATGCTCCTGTTTCGAACTGCAGTTGATCCATCTGTTGCTTACTAATTCCCTGTTGTTTCAGGAAATCAAATTCCCAGTAGTGAGGATCAGAACAAGCTGATCCTGTTGGAGAAGCTTGATGAGGGGATGGTGGAAGCAAGTGCTATCTATGGACATGAAAGGAATGATCCCCTTGAGTTGCCTCTTCTGCAAATCTTTCCTGGCACTGTGAGTGCTCCATATGTGGTTATCACATTTTACAAGTTCCTTTTGCTTCCTCCTCAATTTAAATGACTCTTTTGGGGGATTGCAACTCTTTAAGATAGTGGCATTTAATGCATTCACATTGTGTTGGGAAAGAATGAATTTCCAAAATTGTCCCTCCCAAATTTACTTCACAATATTGATTTGCATGCTAACGTTTTAAAGGAAGAGGAACATTTAATAATGGATGGAGTGGAGGGATTATGTTGTAGAAGCTGTAATAAGTTTCTTTGGATTTCTTTACTATCTTTATTTTTGTATTAGTAAAAAAAATCTATTTAATTGCTTTACACTTTAATAATTAGTAGCAGGCATATCCGACAAGTTGTGAGTTTTTTCTTTTCATTTTTAAAGAAGAAAAAACAATTTGTAAAATTTTATGTTATTCTAGTAAAGCCCGAATGGTCAAGGCATGGTCATCTCGTCCTCAATTTCCTAACCATTTCTTATATCTAATTCAGTTTCTCCCATGGTGAATTATTTTTTTAAATGTGATTTTATCACATTCATTTCAATTAAAAAAAAAAAAAAAAAAGAACAAAAAAAAAGAAAAAAAAAAGGAAAAGAATAGGAGATGGAAATAAATGATTTTGGTCCAGATATGCATCACAATGACTGTTCTGATAGTATGCTGTGTAATTAATTAACTAATTATGTTGGGTTTATTCATGTTAACATGCTGAATAACTGATATATCCAGAATAAGAGTCTAATAATGGATATATTTTTCAGCAAATTTTCTGGAAAGCAGTGTCCTTGAATTTAAAGGAAGCACCCTCCACTTAAAATTTTAAAAATAAATAAATAAAAATTCATTGTATGACTTTGTTTAACAAAGTTCTGCCTTTTTGGTTCTTCGTAAATCATTAATATATTGGTAGTTTCCTGGTTGGATCTTTTTTTGTGTGGCACCAAAAAGTGTGCATAATCTGAATCATCTGGTTGGTCAATCAGTCTGACTTTTGCGCATTTGCATTTGGCAGCATCATGTAGACCTGTTCGCTGCTCAGTTCACTGCACTGGTAGGTTCGTTGCACTGTTTACTTTTGATGGAAGAGTCATGTGGATTTCTTTCACTGCATTGTGTGATCTGTCTTCCTGTAGATGGCGCGTGAAGGATATCACCTGGCTGATAATCAAATTGAACCTGCATCTCTTGCTACTGATGGAAGCTCTACTAGTCAACAACCAACTGTTACCACTACATCTGAAACAGTTGAGCTACCACCCCCAATTCCGATCCCAGGGCAAGCTCCTTGCATGCTTGGTCCTATGAGCAGCATGTCAGGACTTAACCCCTGTCAATTACCATCACAATGTAATTTCTCTGGAGCCCATTTGCTTCCCCCTGGAAACATCCATTCTACACCACATCTCTCAGCTGGTTATTTGTCCAAACCACAACTTGATTTTGCTCCACAGCTCAACCCCTTGCATCCACAGTGGCAACATGTTATTGACAAACGAGCCTTTTTACAGTTTCAGATGCTGCAAAGACTTGGGCTTCAATGGCAACTTTTGCAGAAGAGGATGATGACGGGGGGATTGGGTGCTGCAACAGGATGCTCAAGTATGATGCAATTAGGTAGTGGTGCCGAGTGGCTTGGAAATATTGGCCTTGGTTCCTCTGATAACGTTCTGGGCATGAGGGGCTCCACACCTGTGTTAATGAGAGAAAATATCCCCAGAATTGGCAATTCAGGTGAGGGTAATATTCCAGCTGCAGTATTAGCAAGAATGAGAATGGCTGAAAATCAAGGAAGAGCTTTGTGGAGTGAAGTTCCAATTCAGAGAAATCCTGGTATTTTGCCTGCGTATCAACCTAATTTTTCTGCCATGGCATATGAGGGTATCAACCAACAGATGTCACTTCTACAAATACGACAGCAGTTATACGTGCTGCCACAGCAGCAGCAGCATGAAATGGGATCGCCAATCCAGTCCACGGGGGGAACCGGCTTGGCAGAGCATGTAGTTTCACCTCCAAGTCAAGTTGGCCGGCACCAAATGGATCAAATGAGCCCACACCAACTGAACTCTGTAATGGTTCCTCAGAAAGTGGATCCTGGGAATGTAGTGGCAGACCATGAAAATCCAGGCATCAGTTCACGGACTCTTGGTTCTGTGGCTAGTTACAAGGCAAGCTCATCAATGGAGTTACGTGATCCGATTAAGGATGCCACTTAGCCAAACTAGTGGGATCAAATAAGTGAAGGATTTTGGATGATTGGGTGGTGTAATTAGAACAGCGGCAGATCTGTGAATACCATAGGTTCTTAGATATAAAGATCACATGTACCTACTCTTGTATTTGCTTGTTGAAATTACTTGCATAAATCCAGTGCTGGCTGAATCACCCACCCAAAGCTCAGTGATGTTATGTGGTAGGTCTTTTTTCATCCAGATCATGTCATGCTGATTTTTAATCTAACCTATACCCTGCACTACTTTTTGCATATCACGTATGTGAGGCTTGTAGTACTTAAATTCTGATCGTTTGTGTCATTGCTTGTTGGTAACTTCCTGAAGTCGACAATATGTTATATTAGATTCGTGCTGATTATTGTGCAGAAGCAATTGCCTGTACTCTTGCGGGTTTTTACTCCAAGCTCTATTGAAAGAGAGATTATTATATGGTTTTGGCCAATCACAATCCGTTGCACAAGTAAATGTGTCAGTTTTATTTATTTTTTTTCTTGCGTGTTAGTATATTTTCTGTTCTTTCCCACTTTTGGCACACTTCATGTTGAGCATGATTTTCTGAAATTCCTATCTTCTCACCACATTTGTAGGCATTCTGCTTCTATTTATACTACTCATTCCTTAAGGTAGTTTATGAAGCGCTATTATAGTGATAAAATCACAGAACTCTAAATGGGACAGAGTTCTGTATTGAGAGCGTGGAGTCTTGAAATGTACTGGGATTAAAATGGCTTTGATTTTTTTTTTTTTTGTTCCCCCGACAAATCAGAGGGGGATTCGAACACGAGCCCCATCATCATTCGGGAAACTTGATGCCGGCCACCGGGTAATGTCTCTTTTAATGGCTTTGACCTTTACCTTTTTCATGATATGCAGAGGCTAAGTTTTCTTGTATGCATGGAGACGCATTGGACTCATTGTTCCCAAAGTTTGATGGCACTTCAGATGAAATTTCCTTTTCCTTTTTATATATTTATTTGATTTTTTTTTGTTTGCCTTGCCAAAATTGGGTGAATATAATATGAGACTTTACAAAAGTATATGGCACCTTCAATTTTAATTAGCATAATACTTACGGTGAGGAATAATAAATGAACATTTTTTCTTTAATTACCAAAGTAGAGATGATGTGATACATATTCACTTATCAAATCATATGGCAGGACTGGTCAAAATATACCTCACCATCTATGATTTGGTAATTAAAAACGAATGTGTTCATTTGTTATTGATCCACATCAGCGAACTTTGGAATTGGTGAAATTGGAGAAAGTTTTGGTTCAATTTCACCGATTCTAATTCTAAGGCTATGTTTGGTACGCGTTAGTGTTTTTGATGTTTTGTTTTAACCTAAAACAAAACAAGTGTTTTGTTATGGAGTGTTTTGAGTTGAAAATGGAAACATATTTGGCAACGGAAATTTATAAGGTCTTTCATTTCAAGAAATTTGAAAACAAAACTGTGACGTCCCAAGTTTTATAAACCCGGTGCGACAGTGGTGACCAAAAGATGACCCGAAATAGATCTGAAATGCAGAATCAAAAAATGATCAAAACAAAAGAAAAGAAAGGTTCTAAGGTATGGACGAGCGTTTGTCCAAAGCTAAAGCACGGAGCGCTCGTTTGGCACTCATCCAAGGTCAGACGTTTTGACCTACATGGTCAAGCGTTCTTCCAAAAGGTTCAAGCGTTCTTCCAAAAAGGTTCTGACCTACATGGTCAGGCGTTCTTTCAGAAGGTTCAAATGTTTTTCCAAAAGGTTCTGACCTACATGGTTAGACGTTCTTCCAAAAAGTTCAAGCGTTCTTCTAAAAGGTTCTGACCTACATGGTCAGGCGTTCTTCCTAAAGGTTCAAGCGTTCTTCCAAAAGGTTCTGACCTACATGGTCAGGCGTTCTTCCAAAAGGTTCAAGCGTTCTTCCAAAAGGTTCTGACCTATATGGTCAAGCGTTCTTCCAAAAGGTTCAAACGTTCTTCCAAAAGGTTCTAGCATTCTTCTAAAAGGTTCAAGCATTCTTCTAGAAGGTTTTGACCTACATGGTCAGGCGTTCTTCCAAAAGGTTCAAGCGTTCTTCCCGAAGGTTCTGACCTACATGGTCAGGCGTTCTTCCAAAAGGTTCAAACGTTATTTCAGAAGGTTCTGACCTACATGGTAAGGCGTTATTCCAAAAGGTTCAAGCGTTCTTCCAAAAAGGTTCTGACTTACATGGTCAGGCGTTCTTCCAAAAGGTTCTGACCAAAATGGTCAGGCCTTCTTCCAAAAGGTTCAAGCGTTCTTCCAGAAGGTTCTGACCTACATGGTCAGGCGTTCTTCCAAAAGGTTCCGACCTACATGGTCAGGTATTCTTCCAAAAGGTTCTGACCTACATGGTCAGACGTTATGCCGTTCTAACGTTCTGACTTTCGAACGACAGAAAAGAAGGCAACCATTTGCCGAACGACAAAACAGAAACAAGAAATCAGCCGAACGACAAAATAGTAAGCAAGTTTAAGGCAACCTTGAAGCTATACATGCCTTCCAAATGATCCAAAACAAGTTTAAAAACATACTTGTGTGAACTTTAAAATTAATAGTCCTTGGTTTCATGTTATATATACAAAATAAGCATCTTCAGGTGTTCTTAGATACACAATACATATTAAGGAAACCATCTTAGCTTCTAAAATACCATACATCCATGGTATGCAAAATATATCATCCAAAAGTAAAGCATGCTAAACAAGTGCATGTTCTATATAACAAAACTTCTCCAAGTAGTCAAGCAAGCCGAAGAGTGTTATGCATCCCACGATAATGCTTCTTTACCTGAAAAACAACCCGGTAACTTTGGGGTGAGTAAACAAATTTACTCGTAGGGAATGAGCATACATACGCTTATCTTTATACAAAGTTTACAATTCAATATAATTTAATCCATGCTATTTAAATGACATCAAAACTTTCAACAAGGCACAATGAGATGAAATTTCACAAGGTTATCAACTTAGAATTTAAAAGTATGAAATCAAACCAAAGTGGATATTTGGATATCGCCCGGACTAAAACCGTACTCTTGGGATCACTTTAGGGCTATTAACCCATGGGTAACTTCCCCTAGTGCGCACTATAGTGTAGGGAGCTCTCTATCTCCCATACTATAACCAAGTCCTAGCCAAGTCAAGTTCTTGATGATATCCCAAGTTTCCAAAATCAACAAGTTGAGCAACAAGTCATGATATGTGATAAAAACACAATAAAAGCTCCATGAATTGCATGACTAAATCATTAGATCAATAACATAAAAATTAAGTAGACAAACTAATCAATTTCTCTAGATTTCAAGAGTTGTCCAAATGATTCTAATTTAATATATAACATGGAGTAAGTCATGGTCATGCCATATCTCAAGTATAAAATGAGTTATATGCAAGCTACAATTAATTATTAATTTTTCAAATTGGTATAAGACATGCATACAACTTATACATCACTATAAAGACAATTAATTCCCTTAGATAATAAACTAGAACACCCCTATCTCAATAGAGAATTGTATCTCTATAATCCAAGGCAACCGAGCTTAAAAATGGAAAACCAAACAAGGGTTTTGTAGAGGAGAGTGAGAGGAAACAAAAGTATTCCAAGCTTAAGAGTCTATGGTGAGTGGAATGATGCCAAAATGAAGTTAAAAGCCCTAAGCCAAGCTTTTCCTTCGGTGGATGTTAGGTTCGGATGAGAGCAAAGGGAATGAAGATGTGATAAAATGAAAAGTGGTAGGTGGATGATCTAGTATTCCTCCACTCACTAGGTGTTCTTACACTATCTCTCACACACACACAATGCAATACTCAATTTGGTGCCTATATTTGTCGTCAATCCATGGCTCCTTCCTAGGCTTAATCCTAAGCCTACACTTATCAACCATCCAAGCCAACAAGTGCACCAATTTTAGGCCAATAAATGGGTAAATCTCCACCCTCCACATGTCACAAGATAATGCTCCCAAGTGACTCCACCGCAATGCCAACAAGTGGCTTCATGGGAGTGTGACACTTGTCTTACTTTCCAAAAATTGGAAAAATGTCATTTTCCAAAATATCTTCTAAATAAAATTACAAAATGGTCTCTAAGATAAAAAATAATTACTTTACATAATTACACTAAAACCCCAAAAGTCAAGAATATTTTTAAGAAATTATACATCCATACTCTTTATGAGAAAAGTAAACATCTAGCATGTTTTTCTACTAAAGTAAAAATACAATTATGTTGGAAATTAAATATCATGAATGCATGTAAGGCCGAAATCAAATCCGAGCATAAGATGTGAGGTTATGTAAGGAAAAATGATAAATGAGAAAAGGACGAAAAAGGGAAGAAGACGAAAAAAGAAAAATACTGAAAAAGGAAAGGAAGGAAAATGACTGGGTCATTACAAAAACATATTTGGCAGAGTCAAACAGTTGCCAAAATAGCTTAAACAAAAACAAGTAACACGTTTAGTAAAAAGTGTATTTAATTTGTTTTTGAAAATTTAAAATATATTAATACATTATTATTTATATATAAGAGTACAATTTTTTTTTTTTTTTTTATAAGCTTTGAAAATTTTGTTACACATACATTTAGAATAAAATTAAAAATTGTTACTATATATGAATACGTGGTTTAAGGCTATAATTTTTATTCTTATTTAAAATAACATATCGTTGTGATTAATGTATCATTTTCACAACTTCTTGCAATTAAAAACTCCAATGAAATTGAAATCTCCAAGTGAAATTTAGAAATTGATGTTGCTCATTTCCCATTAATGATTGTGAATTGCATCTATCTATCATTAGTGATATTAAATCCATTTCCCTTTAGTGATTGTGAATTGCATCATAACTTGCGTGTCTCGTATTTTGCTTAAAATTCTGTATGAGTAGATTTTAAAATGTAAAATTGGCACGCTGCATGTGCTGACCCATTATCTGACCTTGGGGTCCATTTTAGAGAGATGTTATTTCCCCTATTCAGCAAAAACTTACAATCGTCAACAATCACATTCATAGCTAATTTTCATGGGATAAGTTGTTGTGTTAGGGTTCAATCCCCATTTCTGTCTCAAAGGCTCTGTTTGTCGATGGCTCTTTTGTTTTGTAGTTTTGTTTGTATGGTTGCTTTTGATTAAAAATAAATAAATAAATAAAAATAAAAATAAAAATAAAAAAATGAGTAGATTTATTCGAGTACGAAGGACCTGATTTACAAATAATTCGATTTCATTATACCCGAAATCTTATAACAAGAAACAAAATTGACAATTCCATTATACCCAAAATCTTGTAAAAATGGTAAATCTGTTTCATCTGTTATGTACATAAATCTATTCCATTTGTCTATTACACAACTTTTCAATTGAGAGGCAAAATATTACAAATAATAGAAAATAT